TCAAAATATACTCGATTGAAATCGAATCGAATGGTGCAATCATAATAAAATCGAATCGACTGGTGCAATCATAATAACCACAATAAAGATATTAATAACACAAATAACAACAACAGTGATTTGAAAATGAGTGTTCATTTCAAGAATATTTACTGAACACTTTCAACTAACCGTTTTCCAGCAATCGAGGGCACGATGAAATGGTCGCTATAGGTCCTCCGCAATACGCTACACATCCTTCTCCTGCATTTGGTACCGTTGATGATGAAGGCCGCTCGGCAGTCAACGAATTTCTACAATCAATTAATTCCTTTCAACAATTAAAATATCGTTTGAAACAATCTCATTCAGATGCACAAGCAAGCCTTTGTCGATCAATCAGAATTCTATCGCTCATTCAAAGAAGGCATCCAGCAATTCTAAACAAACGAAAAACAGAACGGACCTGACAGGTATGGTATAAGGTAATCGACGTGTTGTGAATGTTGGCAACCGTTCAGATGGTTGCTTTTCACAGGCTGGCTCGTTTTGTTGCCGTTTCACTGTATCAGTATTCGATTTGGACGCCGAAGAAGACGATCTAGCAGCTTTTTCAGACTTACTCGAAACCTTGGCAGTGGGTTTACTCGAAGGCGATACTGCGTCCACAGTTGTTGTTATGGTTCGATCAATAGCACCACCGGGTAGTCGTACCGGTACTGAATGTTTATTCAATATCCGATTCAGTAATTTACTGAAACCAAAATTAAATTATAAGAATTTTCAGTTTATGTTACAATTTGTTAAGCAAAAAAAGAAACAATGCTCTCAAATATGCAATTTTGGATTGGAATGCTGAAAGGTTTGAAAATTCATGAGATTCTCCGCTCAAATATTATACGAGATGAAGCATTGCTAAATCACAAATAATCATAAACGACTAAATCAACAAACAACTACATAAGTAATCAGTCCGAAAAGACCACTCAAAATTACTCCAACACACAACATTAACATTATTCTTCCATTACACTAACACACCACCAAAATATTCGTCGAAATCACACTAATAACAATACGAATCATTCCTGATAAAATTTCAAGCGATTCTTCAAGAAATCTCTTCGGAATCCACTGAAGAGACACGATGAAACGCTCGCAAAAGCGATGAAACTTGATTTCAATTAACGAACCTTTGAGTGTATTCTTCTTCTCGAACAACGTCCCAATTGGAACGATCAAAGTGGATGTCGAGTAACGAACGGCATAATTGCTCAACGTTTCTGTCCGCATCAAAACTGACACGAGCACAGTTCACTGCTGCCTGATAGTTGCGTGAATCAGCCTCTGACGGCCTGTGCACTAAACAAACAACAGAAACAATTACTAAAAGTAATAAATTACTGATAATCTAGCCATCAATGAGATACCTACGAGCCATGATCGCTTCGATGAACACCTATATTTTCCAACAAATATACTCAAATTCTTGATTTCAATTAATTAACTGATCTTAAATCAGCAGTTCATAATGCATCCGATAGCATGAATTGGTTGCTTACTACTAGAAATTCTAACAATAAGCATTCATGAGACACGGAAAGTATGGTTATGAATCCACTGCTAACACTTGAATAAATGAAAACCACCGAAAATTCTGATCGTTTTTTAAAATTTCATTTGTTGAATTGAACATAGCACTGGAAGAAACACAATGAACAAACACTCTCTAGAGATATGTTGATGAAAATTTTACTTACAAAATATTTCTAAAACTTATTTGTGAATTCACAAATTGACAACTGACAAATCTTACCAACAAAAATTTTAAAGAATTTGTTATTTGCAAATAACGAAAAAGGAATAGATAATTTTTGCATAAACTAAACAAAGTGATCAAGAAATAAGTGATTACATACATGATTCAGTGGTTTTGAATTTGTATCGTTTCACACCAGCATTGATCGATGTTCGTGAACTATTTGTTGGCAGCACACCTTGCGATACCGAGGCCATGCCTCGACATCGAGTGCTTTTCAACAACGACGTCAACAACTCATCTTTATCGCCCACGTCTCCATCCTCTTCTCGATCATGCTGAACAATTTCTTTCGTTGCTTTTTTTTTCGTTCCAACACAATTATTGGACTCTAACACCAAATGCACAAAGGATAGTAAACTAATAAGATTGCGGAAAACAAAACTGCATGATAGAACAGATGGAATATTAATGATAATCTAGCGATCAATGAGATATACACGAGTCATAATCGCCTCGATGAATACCTATATTTTCCAAGAAATACATTCAAATTCTTGATTTCAATAAATTTACTGAATCAATCTTGAATCACAATCGATCTCTTTGATAGACCAATGAACTGTTTGCTTCTCCATGAAACATATTTCCACTGAAGCATACAAATGGATCTTTTCCGGTATAAAAATTCCAAAAAGTTTTCCGAACACAGACCAAAACAAATGGGACGAACGACTAGTAACCACCTGGGTGGATGAATCCATTGCACATTCGTCACTATGATCACTTTCTTCGAGGCCCGATGCTAACTGCGACGTTTTGCGACGTTTTTTTGCACTTCGTGTTAGTGGAGTGGTTGAAGCATCTCTGAAAATAATAATATTTGCTTTCGTTTCTCACGAAGAAATGTTCATTTCGATAATCTGAATAGAGAAACGACAAGAGGGTTGGAGTCGATAGATAAGAAAACTCACTTTTCGGCGATAATTTTATGCGCTTTCTCGATCAGTTTACTCAGTTGTTTCTGATGGCATTTAATCAGATGATCTTTACTCTCCTGATAGACTGAAGTCTCACCACATCGATAACATTTCCATTGACGATTCTTAAGTGAACAACTTCAAAATCTTACATAAAACAAACAAATTTTCTGATCAGGTCTTCAATACTCGACCAATGATGAATGATATTAAATAAATGATCTTATGTTCAAATGAAAATGATAATTTGAATGCGAGCAACTGAAATCGTTTCAACTTTTTTGAACAGATATAATCATTGACAATATTTTAGCAAATTTAATAGTAATCTCATAATCTCACCATATCATTAACGCCGCATTTTTGCAGATGGTACCATAGGCCATAAGAATGTGAGTAGACTTGCGAGCAATCCAACGTGTCGATATTCAAACACGGCAGAAAATCG